ACTATTATTGACCCATCAAGTGAGACTGAGTCCAGACCCGATCGCTTCCCTGCGCCTCGTGGGAGAAACTTACATAATAATGTACCCCATCCAGACCAGCGGGCCCGGCAATCTATTCTTCGAGACCCTCACTTTGAGACACATATGTCTGCTTCGACATCATCAGCCTACCAGTCTATGAACAACTCAACTTCCACGTCCACAGGCCTTTCGTCGACACTCAAGCCCGGCTTCAAGCCAGCCGACAAAGCCCTAGTCCATCAATGGACTCTGCGCCAATTCTACGAAAACAGCATGAACCCCTCAGTCGCTCCGAGTGAAGAAGACGAATACTCGCGCTATGTCGAGCACCCACTCAACCTCCCCCTAGTTGTCAGCAGCGACATCCCCACTGCCGACGACCCCATCGCAATGGAATACTACGACTACCTCTCCGTCACCGAATCTAGCGCCACGCCACCCAAGGACTTTGACGAAGACGGCATCCAGATCACACTATCAGAGCAAGCCCGGCTAGACACCGACGCCGCATCCGTTCACTCCTTCACCTCGCACCACGCGCGGCCCATGACGTCTCAATCCGTCAGCACCCCCTTTTCCCACGCCCCTTCGTATTCGTACCCCCAATCGTATAATCACCATCCTCACGTCTACAACGATGTTCCGCCCACACCTTTACGTCAGCATCATCACCATCACTATCCGCTAGTGTCTGGAAGCAAATTCCAGACACCCGAAGAGGATATAGAGGAGTTTGAGGAGTTTCTGCGGGTGAGGGAGAATCCGCTGGATGTCGAGAATGAGGATACGGGCAAGAAGCGGTATAAGGCGTATAGGCAGTGGTTGAGGGGTAAGAGCTTTTTCAAGCAGAGTAAGGTGGATCCGGAGTGGCAGAATCAGTTGCCTGTTAGGTGAAGTGAGGTGGGGTTTGTCTGATCGATAATACATTTTGCTTCTAGAACTTTTCCTTTTCGTCACATGGGGATGATAGATATAATAGCGAGGAGGGGGTTTGTTTTGTAGCCTTTATCTAGTTCGTTATGCAACACAGAATCTCATTGTTTATTTTCCAACAGTTCTACAACCCTCCATGTTTAGTAACGTTTGATTCGCGTGTCTCCGCTTTGAAAATAACATCATGGAAAAATAACATATGAATAGAATATACAATAATAATAATAATAATAATAATAATAATAACACTATTATTGGTAAAAAAAAAGCATACACATCTTCTATTTCTGCTCGACACACACACAGACACCAAAAAAAAACACCCCTCATCTTTCACGCCATATCATCCGTCATAGCCGCCAACACACCCGCCCCAATAATACCCCCATCTTTGGCTTCCTTGAGCGTAACCTGCTTGCTCGAATTTGCGGCTGAGCCCTCTTCAACGAGAATATCGATCCACTGCTGACACGTTTGCAGCCACTTTGGATACTGTGAGATGGTACCACCAGCATACGCAATGACCAGCTCTTCAATCTCGCGCTTGCCCTTGGTACTACTGTGCGTGCCGTTGCTAGGTGCTTTTGCGCCGTCCAGAGATATTTCGCCGACGCAATTCAGGAGGCCGACGCATGCGGCGGCGACGAGAGCGGAGGAGCGTTGTTGGACAGCTTCGGCGATGTCGCGGATCATTTCTACTCTGTCGACGGTCCAGAAGGGGTCGTCGGATGGACTAGGGTCGGGATATTTGCTTTCTAGTTCTTGCTGGACGATGCGGCCGCCCTTTCGCGCAATGACTTCTGAGAGGAATCTGGTGGGGAGGGTATTTTTGGTTTGGAGGGAGGGTGGGATTTGCGCGCTGGTGTCTTTGGAGACTACGTCGGTGAATATCAGGCGCACGATTTCACCAAGGTAGCGCCCTGATGTCATGTACTCGAAGGGTTGGAAACCTGGTGCGTCGCTGTTTGCGTCGAGTGTCATGTCCCAGGGTGTTTTGATGTTGAGATCGATCAGGGGCTTGTCGGTGCCGCGTATTGTCCATTCAGTGTTGATGACTACAGTCTCGACAGCATCAGGGTTGGCCAGGGCACTCTTCTTAGCGGGGTGTAAACATTCCAGCTTCATTGGTACTGTTGCGTTAGTTCCAGTACCGACAATCAGACCCATTGCTACACGACTGTTTGGTGAAGCCTTGACTGCGTAGGCGAGGGATGCAAATGTGGCTACTGTGTCGTTGGTAATGGCAGCGACACGTATCCTTGGTAATGGCGGCTTGTTTTGCTGAGAACTGTCGCAGTGTCGGGCGTATCCTGCAAGGAGCATCTTGCCCAAGTTCAAGTCTGATGTAATAGCGAAGCCCTTGCCCATTGGCAGCAGAGTTGCCTCTGATAGACGAGTTTGGCTAACAAGGATGTTAGCACAGCACCGTGGTAGTATACGGTCGACTCGACTTACGCCATTGGAAAGCTAAAGGTGATACCAAGCAGAATCTCATCGCCTAGGGGCGAGCTAACTTGACTGCCACTGCTCTCCTGTTCGTCAAGAGCGCCTTTTACAACTTCGGCGATGCAGTCACCTATCCAGGCAAAGAGGTCTTCGGCTTGGTCCATTTTCAGGTGATCTCCAATTGGCCAGTTTTTGTCATGACTTCGGTTGATCTGAGCAAAGACATTGTCCCCAATGGTACTACTCCGGCTACGCTCAGTCCCCGTAGAGGCATCTGGCTCTCCAATCAGCTCCACGAATCCGACTCTTAGATTAGTGCCGCCAACATCAATGCTCAGGAATTTGCCCTTTTCCTTTCCAGTAGGCAGCGCAGTGACGGGAGTAGCGAGGAAATGCTCTGTTGAGGTGCGAGCGAGGTTGCTGTAGGTTGCCGAGAAGCGGCGGGCCAAGTCGAGTAAAGTAGTGGTATTGATGAGGGAAGTAAAAGCGTCAATGGGAGCGGCGGCATCAGTTGACGCCATTTTGGCTCAATGCTAACAGGCGCAGGGAACAGGAGGTTGGCAGTACAAGGCTGTGCGCATGGACCAAGCAGATGGCAGGATGACTGGGGGACCTTGGCCTTTGAGGAGGGGTTTTTGCGGGTGAAGCAGACGGGTATGTATGCAAGTCTAAATGTGGGGTATCAGAAGGGAAACCAGATAAGAGAGTCGTTCATTGTGAGGGAGCGTAAGAAGCAAAAAAAGAACGGCTGACAGGGGGGATTGCGTGCCCAGGAATAGGCGCGGTGATGTTTGCGATGCAGGATGCGTGTAGCCCCTCCGGCCGTCGGGGGGCCACCCAGTCAGTCATGCCAGGCCCGTCCACAACTCACAGAGACAAACGCCACCCATACTACTTGCGGGTAATTGTTGTGCCGTCGTCCTTCCCGCGGCATGACATGACATGTGATGGTTGTACATGTGTGCAGTGGAACGGGGGTTTGGGCGATCCACGGCTAGTACAGGGGGGGAGGGGAGTACACAAGTACTATACATGTCGTTGATGCATTTCCATGAACCGCTGATTGTCCATCAACCCGTCCTGGTGTGACTTTCCTCTAGCCAATGTGCTTGACATGTCGTTGCCAGGACACACGCCGACGGCTAGTTGACGACCACGCTATGCGAGGCCCCGAGCGCCAATCACTCCATGATTCCTTGTTTGACTGCATCCATCCATACGTCCGTGTACATGTGTATGTATCTGCCTGTCAATCACGCCCATCATCACATAAGCTGCGCCCGCTCCACCCCCCGGCCTCGCTAGTCCGGTTCAGCACGCCATCTAGACTGTCTGGTCTGGACCCCATCTCCAAATAACCAAACCCAACCTCGACGCGTGCGCCCTGGATAACACAATGGAAGAGAAGGCGCCCCTCATCTCCAACGCCCCAGAGGCCGGCGAGCCCGAGACTTCGCGCAGTTCCAGCAACAAGAGCCGCCTGCAGATGGCCGTGACCATGCTTGTCCTCAGCTTGTTCTGGCTGGCATCGACATGGTCCTGCGCCGATGACCACCACCACCACCTCGACACCGATTCAAAAGTGCCTCTGGACGTGCACATCATGTCCAAGTGCCCCGACGCGCGAGACTGTCTCAACAAACTCGTGCTGCCCGCCATGGCAAACGTGTCTGACAAAGTCGACTTCCGTCTGAGCATGATTGGCACGTAAGTTTGCCCGCCACCGGCAATCCACCAAACAAACACACACATACATATATACGACAGTTGCTAACAAACCCCGGACAGCCTAACCGAAGACGACGGCGTACTATGCATGCACGGCCAAACCGAGTGCCTGGGCGACATCGTGATGCTCTGCGCTGCATCCGAGTACCCGGACCCCAAGCTCCACCTAGGCTTCACAAACTGCCTCATCACCGACTACCCCGAGATACCCGCCCGCTCGCTCATCGAAGACTGCGCCCTGGAACACGGTCTCGACTTTGAAGTGCTGAACGAGTGCATGAGCAGGGAAAACGGCGCCTACGGCATGGGTCTGCTGAGGGACAGCGCACAGCATAGCCGCGATGTGGGCGTGACGACGAGCTGCACTGTCAGGCTAGACGACAAGGTGAGGTGCGTGGTCGATGGGGGTAAGTTTAAAGACTGCCCTGATGGTGATAAGCCCGAGGACCTGATCCAGGATATCGAGAGGCTGTACAAAGAGGCTCAGGGTTGGACTGAGTCTTGAAAGTTGTAATCGGAACCTTTTGGCTCATTGTCGCCTTCCTTTTCGGTTGTGTCCTTTTTTTTCTTCCAAAGGCGTTTGTTTGGAGCCGGAAATTTACCTGATACCCCCTCCCTCCCTCCCCCCTTATCACATACTCTCACGTACACAAATTCAACGACATGGACACACAGACATATACACATGTAACAACCATTTCTTGACTCTTGATGTTTGAATTCTTCCCAACGCGCCTGCCATGCGAGGATACACGTGAGACAGATGCAACAATATATATATATAAAAAGGGAACGCCTTGCTAAATGTACAAAAAATTAAAGGAAAAAGGTCATGCCTCGCCCATTGATATACTTCCACATATGCTTTCTTTTCATTGAAACTCTCCAAACTCTCCATCATCAAACCCTAGATCCTCGGCCGTCTGTTTCGGCGGCAAGCTCGCCGCATCAAACGTCTGTCTACTCCTCCTTCTCTCTTCCTTCACACTCTTCGCACTGGGGGGCGGGGGCAAAAACGCGCCTCCAGGCCCGCTCCCAGGTGGCGGTTTTATACTAAACAGGGCATCCTGATCGCTCTTCTTGCCCTCGTCGCTCTTATCGCTCTCATGGCTCCTCGACCGCCGGCCCTTGAGTCCGCCAAGGTTAATCGATATTGTCTCTCCGGCCTTGAGGCTGAAATCGCGCTTTACTTCTTCAGCCACGGGAGCAGAGGTTTTGGATGAGGATCGTGAGGAGAGGGATGAGGCGGATTTGGATTCGAAACCTAGTACGCGCCGGGCGTCTTGGAGGGCGATGGAGAAGTCGAAGGCTTCACTGCGTTCTTCGAAGCCCATGCCTAGCACAGCTTTGCGGCCCTCGCCTACGACGGTGATGGCGAAGAAGCGACTGCTGTCCAGTGCCTGTTCGACGGTGCGCTCACTAGTATACGGTGCTGCAGCAAAAAGATCCCCGTTCTTGGGGTCTTCGAGCAGGATTGTCGTCGTTACTTTTTCGTTGTCATCGTTGCCGCTTGCGTCGTCCGAGGATGCGCTGGGTATCGAGGTCTCGACGATGCGTAATCGCGCGGTGAAGATCTGTAGCTGATTGTTGTTGGCCGTCCACGTAGAGGCTTGGTACCCTTTTGTCGACGTCGCCGGTGGGATCTGGTATATGTGCACTTTGGGCGCGAGGTACAGAATGCGCTGGATTGCGGTGGACGGCAGCGGTGCGCCCGTCAGAGGGTCAACGTTCATGGCTGTGAGAAGGGGGGAGGAGGGGAGTGATATGCGGGGAAGGGGGGTAAATGGTATGTCTCTTTTTTTGGAGACTGTGCTTTCTTTAGTATGACGTTGAACGCTCTTGTCTTTCTTTTGTCTCTCTCCTGTGTGTCTTTCTCGTGAGGTCTTTTGTGATGGTAAGAAAACAAAATGGTTGTGCCGACTATATCGATGATGCCCAACACGTCTTGTAATTCTTTCTTTCCCAGCGCGGAACCAAACCCCCCTGGTCTAAAAAAAAGGGACCCTGGAAACCCGGTTGTCGCGCGCGGCGGCGGCGGCGGCGGGGACAAATGTAGGCTGTTAGTGGGGTAAAATTAACCAGGCAAGTAAGCTTTTTCTTTGCTCGGAATCGCCAGCCCAACTAATAATAACCCGCAAACAGCAACAGAGCACGATTGCAGGCTGTCCAATGAATCTGGGTAGTTCGGGCGTCGGGGTTGTAGTAGAGGGGGTTGGCTGCAATCTGACAGACGCTTCTTGGGAACGGGCGTGATCAGAGAAGGATTGGTGCACATGATTGCTCTTTGGGGGGTCCCTTTTCTTCAGCGGTGATGCGTTGGCAATGCAGGGTCTCCGCGCCCTTTGGATGGGGAGAACCCCGCCCATTCATTCTTCGTCAAGAGCCGAATGCTACACAGGTATGGTGACTGCTTAGCGCTGCGTGCCATTGTCGAATCGTTGCTTGCTCTGCTCCTGGTACCTTTGTCCGAGCTTCATCCTTTTAGGATACTCTGATACATGTGTATACTGGTACTAGAACAGGTGGAGTAGAGTGTCAACGCCTCCGCAATAGAGCCAAGGCGTGCCCGACCACTGTACTGGTACTTCGTCTCAAGCACCTGCAGATGCCCCACTACCAAGACCATTCTTAGCCTCGATGCACAACTGTCGCTCTTCTCATTTTCTGTGGGCATGGTGGTCAAGCAAATCTACCATGGTTGTGCGGTCAAGAGCCGCTTCATATCAAACTACTGGGTATATGCCTGTTCACACCCGGCGTCAAGAGTCACACCGCATCGGTTACGAATGCCAAGTTTATTTTTATTCCCTCTAGTGCTCCAATGGCAATGCAGTATCTACTAGAAATTATTCACACGAATAGCAAAGAAGCCTCTAACCGGCACTTCTAGATGTACGTGTAGCAGAAAGGTCCTCCCATCGTAGTCATCGCATCGGCAACCGTAATGTCTACTGGATAGGCATAGCCCAACGTCATCTTGTCGGTGAGCTTAGTTGCAGGCGCGGTGGGGTCAGAAATAACGGTAGTTCCATAGATGGCGTTGGTACGCTCGGCAGGGTTGATGTTTTGCCACGTCCACCACACACGATCAATCTGTCCGTGGTGGAGGAAGAACCATGGGTCACCTTTTTCTACGTTAGCAGGCGGAAACACAAACACATGCAACATGAAGACGTACCGGGAGAAGTGAAGAAATCCGATCCAGGATCACCGCCCAAGTGGAAGTGCCCCGCAGTGTGCACGCCCATGAAGTTATTATCAAAAGAGGGATCACCACCTTGCATGTCGGTCCAGAAAGTCTTCATGTCTGGGCTATTGAGCAGCTTCACTACCATCTCGTCATTGGTCCACTGTCTGGATGTCCACGATGAAATGTCTCGCTTGAGACAACGGGGGTTATATCCAAGCCCCATGTTGGGATCCGTGAAGTCAGAGATTGGATTGGGAGGTACACAGAGCGAGTCCGTGAAGACGGGTCCAAGATTGACGCTCCAGTCCTTGAAGGGTCCAGAGGCTACGCAGCCTCCACCGCTGCCTTTGGGAATCTTGATCTTCGGCTCTGCATTCGTTGGAATTCCATAAAAGGTTTGGTTAGTGCATCCAAGCACACCATTGCCACTCAAGGACGTGGCAGAGCCGTCAAAAGCAGGGCTCTTGATGGGGTCGTCAGCCCATCGCGGCCAGTTGTAGTACGGCTGGTAGCCCTTGTACCCACATTCCTTTCGCAGTGTTTGTTCATATGCCCACGTGAAGTAGCGGTGCCACGGAAGAAAGTTTCCAGTGTTGTGGATCGAGAACGTCTGCTTGATATGCGCAGCTACGAAGTCGTCGTATCGGTTCCGGCAGCCCGGGCATTCGGCCTTGGGCGTCTTCGGGGGTAGCTTGGACATGCATTGAACCGCCTGAATGTAATTGGTCTTCTCCGGCTTGGTGAAGGTAGCCCTGAATATGTTAGTACATGTCTTCTGTCACTTTGCTGAGATACACACCATTCCTTGCGAACAACAATGTTCAAGGGGTTGCATTTCTTGAACTGCTCGTTTTGTTGTGTGGCCTGGAAGATCTGCTGGTTGATGGCAGCAATTCCAGCGTACACATCTGCCTCAAGGACCTTTCCTCCCAAGATGTTCGGAGAAACATTCTGCCTCTTGTCAAATGATGCAGCTGGAGAAGTTTCCTCGAGCGCAGGAATAGCGCTAGCCAACGCTGCGGGTGCAAGCCAAAGGAGTGCGGCTGTACGCATGATCGCGTTTCGAACCGGGTAAAGCTGGGTATTCAGGTATTCGGGGGGCCTTGGGGGATCAAGACGAGTGAACGACTGAAACCGCCGACTGCTCTGAATATAACTTCGGACACGATGCCAGTCCGAGTGGGCTATTACTGAATTATATTAAGATATGAGAGAGGCGAAAGCGAGAGACGACAAAAGCACTGCCTAGCAATGCAGGGCTGCACGAGCCTTCAAATACTTCCAGCGTGCATACCAACACCTTTCTTCATCTAGTCCAATCAAGCAATCTGACTACCAACAGCACTAACATTCAGTGATTTTCAGGCCCCGAATCTCGGTTCATTGATTCCGAACAGCCTTCGAGTCAGTGAGAATGTATCGCATACCAAAGATTTATTCGCCCGCAATCCTCAAATGGTCCAAATGGGATGGAAACCTTTTTGGTGCTCCTTCTACCTTACCACTACTACCAGAATGGATCCTTCATTCCGAACTCGCCTCGTAGGATCCAAAGGGGCGTCTCTAAACTCCGCAACACGTGGGTTCGCCTGAGTCTCGGCCCCATGTGAAGGACAGGAAAAAAGGCATTGAGGCTGTGAATGCAGGTAAGATGTGGGAGCAGATTCTGGAAGCCTCGGTTACGGGTCTATCGAGGGACAGGGCAATGGATAGGCCAGGAAAAACTTGGGATGTCTACGCCGCTGCACTGAACAGGCCCCGAGCCGTGTGGCGGCTGTGGTTCCACAACGCTCACGCAAGACTGTATTTTCTCTTCATCTGTTTAACCGGTGTCATCGTGCGGAGCTTAGGGGCGGGTCCAACGGGAAGAAATTGGGATGTGGTACCTGAGGATTGTGCCTAGGTACTGTAATTCGTAGTATATAGTCCGATCGGCGCGGATCTCATACACTAATACCTACCAGGGAGTTTGGCGCGTCAATCACTTCTGATCATACTTGGCCACGATACTTGAGTATAATCAGAGATACTTGGCAAAGGCCCTATCAGCGGCAAAGAGATGGGACGATGAACGGGAGGGGGGAAGAGGGTGTGGCGGCCCGCATAAGCATGCTACTTTTCTATGACCAATTGCTACGCCGCGGATAATTTCAAGCGCCGTTGTTGCCCGCGGAACCGGCCCCCGCTGCCCGCTCGCCTGGACCGTTAGCGTCCTATCATTCCACGACCACATCCTATCCGTTCATCTCACAACTGACAGCCTGCATAGCCCGGAGATTGCTCAGCCCACTAGCCTGCGGGTAGACTTGCTCAGACACGTGTTGCAGCCGTGTTCACGCCACTACCTGCGATGTTAGCAAAACTCAAGTCGTACGAGGTGGGTATGGCAAAGTCCGGTGCGCCGACGATGCGTAACTTATAGCCATAGGCTACAGGATTGGTAGTTGGTATATGGAGACTTTTCCCTCACTAACACACTAGCATCCGAGCCTTACCCTCTACTGGGCACTTCCTCCGCAACCGTTCGCAGAATCTACCGCATTCTTGTGATGAATCCTACAGTTTCAACATCCTGTTTTCAAAGAATCGCAACAAAGGCCAGTAGGAAGGGAAACAGCTGCAAAATCTCATGATTTTCTCAATATGGGTGTTACCATTTTTCTGGTAGAAAGTGTTCAAGTGCAGAGTGACAGAGCCCGCATCGCTCCTTGCTCCGAATGAAGACATGTTCTTCCAATTTTGGCTGTCGATATTGGTCCTGATTATCCAAAAGCAGCACGTGCCAAGTTCGTAATAACGAAGATGTCCATGAGCCACTCACCGAATGTCTAGAATACACTGCAATGTAGACTAGAGGTATGACAGTGTTTCAGCCAGCAGTCTGTACATGTACTCGCAACACCGCGTCTTTGGGTTCTTCCAAGGCATGAGGAGAAGAAATAAAGGGACTCTGTCTTGATCCTCGGATTGTAGCAACATAGCGGCAGGCCAGTGGATTCGGTATCAAGCTTTGCAATCCCGTTGGCACAAACATCATGATTGGGCAGACAGCCCGCCACTCCGACCGTTCCCCTGTTATGCAACACAGCCGAGCCGTAGCGTTGACATTAAAACAATGTAGCGTGCATATACGGAGAAGCATGTTTTGGCCCGGACCAATACTAATCCAGATATGGCCGTTTACTGTAGTGCACAGTCTTTACACTCTGCGCGTGTCTGCGTGCCACTTTCGGGCACACGGTCATGGGGCGTTTTTGAGCAGAGCCATGAAAACGTACATGTCTGTCTTCTGTTAGAAAAAGTCTTCTCGTCCATTTTGCTTCCTTTGAGGGCACATTTTCAACATGGCCTATCATCATCTCATTTCGAGGCAGGGATGGGGACCTCCCCCAACGCCAGCGCGATCACCAGAGTATATGGCAGAGAATCAAGCTGCCCACTTGATGGCCGTAGAGGGTCCCCTGTTCGCATTATCTACCACTGCGGTGCTTCTACGGTTCTATGTGCGAATCTTTATGTTGAAAACATTCGGTTGGGATGGTATGCAACACCACTCACGTATAAGAATCGCCGAACGTCACTAACCGACTAAACCAGACATTATGATGTTGGTTGCAGTAGTATGTCTACCACTCTGGGAAATTCAGATAACCCCTTTGTTCGCTGAACATATCGCTGACATCTACGTCTGCAGTGCATAAGCATAACAACACTGGGTCTGTTCTTGACAGTCATTAATCTTGGACTGGGAAAACACGCCGAAGCATTCCCAGTGGAGAATACTTTTCTCTTTTTCAAGTACATGTACTTCTATTCGATTCTCATCATTGCCGGATACAGCTTCATCAAGCTATCGATCGGTCTCTTCTTGCTCCGGCTGGCAGACCGGACAAGATGGCGACCATTCCTGATCGGCATGCTGAGTAAGTAACATTTGGTTGGAGAATTCCGCGTTGCCCACAACAGTGACTGATTGATCGCCCAGTTTTCATTGTTATTTTCACGATTGGCTCGACGTTCGCCATTATATTCCAATGTATACCTGTACGAGCAGGCTGGGACTTCACTATGCGTCCGCCAATGGGGTTGGTACCAATTCAAGTCTTGGTATAGTTCAAAGTAATGGCTAACACAAACACAGCAAAGCAAAATGTTATGATGCGACAATATTCAAAAATGTCGGTGTCTTCAACTCTTGCATCAACATCGCCACAGATCTGATATTCGCCCTGATTCCCATACCCATGGTCTGGAAGCTCCAAGTCACTATTCAAACACGCATTGGTCTCGCAACAATCTTGGGTCTTGGTCTATTCGCCTCTGCTATAGCAATCTACAAGACACCGATGCAAGCCAATTTCTTCAAAGTAAAAGATTGGTCCGGCGATGGATCCTGGTACTACATCTGGCAACAGTACGTCCTTGCATCACGCACTAGAACCCTTGAAGGGCTTAACACTAACTTTCGTCACAACAAAACAGAGTAGAAATGCACGTTGGCATCATCGCCGCCTGTCTTCCAACCATTAAACCCCTCTTCGCAAGCTTCTTCGGACAAGTCCGGTCCATAGCCACAAGAGGCCGAACAACCGGTTCGAATGGCCTCAATAGCACACCGTTTCGCTCAAGGGGGTATATGAAACAGAGCGAGCAGCAGAACAGCGATAGCTTCGTCATGAAGAATATGAGCGAGGGTAGTCAGTCGATAGGACGTGACCCTTACGGTGAAGACACAGTGCTCGCCAAGGACACATACACCGTCGTAGCTGGACGAGGTAAAAGCGGTCTTGAGAGAATGGGAAGTCCAGCTAGGGAGAGTGATGATAGCATTGAGAGTTACGAGGCACGATGTGGTCCGCGGAGGTCTGTACAGAGAGGTTTGACTATCGTAAAGACCACTGAGGTAGCTATAAGTCGATGATGATATGGGGAAAAGAAGAATTTCATATGTATCAGGTTGATTTTTTATTTTTCCTTACATAGCGAGATATACCCACTCAACGGACGTTCAGTTTTGTTACGCTATTCTGCAGAATGGTATTGTAGACAAACCAGTCTATTCTAGTTTCAAATACTAACAAATCATGTGTAAACCGAAATTGTGGGTTTCTATAGTCTATCGTGTAAATCATGTCTATCGTCTTGTGTAATCGTGTAAAGACGTTTGCGTTTGTCGCAGTCACCTACGAGATCGCAGCGCTTTCTCCTCCTCCCCACACATGCGGGCCGTTCACAACTACGCCGCAGCCACTACTGCGGGCACTACATCCGGAGCGATCCGTCTGGAAAAGGGGAAGCATGAGAATGTCTGGGAATCAACTGCGCCGCGGCGTGGAAACCGGATAAGGAGAGCTTTTCTGTCTCTCCGGTTAAATCCCTCCCCACAAGCCCGCCATCTACTTCTTGAGGCCAGCCTCGCCCTTTTTGTACGCTTCGTAGCCTTCCTTGGCCGCGGCCTGGACCGTCGTCTTGCCCTCGACAATGCTCTTGCACTTGGCCAGGATATCGGACCAATCCTCGAAGACTGTAAAGGGGACATCTTCGCGAGCACAGTAGCTAATCAAATCATGTCCCTTCTTCGCAAACAGAAGGTCTGTCTCGCGCGCAGCCGACAAATCTGACACACCGTCGCCAGCGTAGAACATAGTCGGGCGCACGTTCTCGGGGAGCGACGAGTACTTGCGCAGCTCAATCGACTTGTCATGGCCGAAACCCGAGTCAGGGTGCTTGAACAGAATCTGCCATCCCCCCTCCTCGTTGATGCTCTTGCCCTCGCGGGGACCCACATAGTTACCCAGAACCTGCATCTTGCTTGCGCTGGGTCCGACGAGTTTCTCAAGCAGCGCGCGGATAATAGGCTCCATGCCGGAACTCAAGACTACAACAGGAATGTTGTTCTCGAGCGACCACTCGAAGAAGGCCTTGAAGCCTGGGTCTAGCTTGATGTTGTCGACGAGGTACTGGATGCATTGGTCGTAGGGCCGTGTGACGCTGTCCATCATGTCGCGGAAGGAGTCGCGGAAGGAGATCTCGTTGTTGAGGCAGGCAATGTTACCTGCGCGCCTCTTTTCCTGGCCATAGCCGATGTTGTCGGTCATGAAGTCATTTGAGTCTTGGAGTGTGATTGTGCCGTCGAAGTCGGTGAAGAAAATGAACTGTCTCGTAATGTCAGTATGTATGTCGAGCGGGGTGTAGCATTACGTACCTTGGGGTCGCTCTTCATAGCGGGCAACTCTGCCAAATCGATAGATCCCATCTTGAACGTATGAAGCGGGTGAATGTCGTAGGGAAAAGTTGAGGGGCTACAAAAGATAGAAAATGATGTACATTAAGTCATTCGGCCAATACCTGAAATACTCGAGCGGCACTAGGTACAGCCTGAATGGGCAAGCCGGGGCTCAACACGTCGAGGACAACCCCACGCCTCTTGGCACGTCAGAGCGCTTCGGAGGTCCGCATGGCTGGTGCTTTTTCGTCATTCGTCGTCCCCGTCACTGCGCTCTTGATGTAAGGCAAGAGACAGCAATGAGGCCATTGCTTCGGAATGCTTCACGCGAGCTGGTCACTAACAAGGTAGCCTCTTCACTCCGCCTTTTCAGTCGCCGTGCGAGCACCGCGTCGTCGCCATGTCTGCCATGCCAACATCGCCTGTCGTTGTCTGGCGGTGGACCAAGATGGGATCCAAGGCTGCAACTAACCATCAATGCGGCTGAGACATGGCAGCGACGTGCCCTCTCGAGCTCGACGAGATGGAGAGAAGAAGGAGGAAAGCCGCCAAAACCGTCAGATGCCATCGCAATGCCACCGCCCGCGGCACCAGCACAACCACAGGCCCCACAACCACAAGCTCCATCACAACCGCAGCCCCAAGCACAACCACGGCCCAATGTTTCTGCACCCCCGCCATCGCCAGAAGACCAAGAAAGATTACAGAGAAGACTCAATGCCTTATTAGAGGATCAGATAGCCATTCAGAGAGCAGCCGAGAGCTCGGTAGCAGCACTCAAGGAATCACCGGCTACCGAAGCCTCCAAACCTCCCCCACCAGAGCCCGAACCAGAACAACCCAAGAAAGCCGAGTCCCCAGATACCATTGCACGTGTACCCGATGAGCACTTGCCTTCGCACCGTGAAAGGCAGAGATGGAGCCTCTTGAAGCGCTTCTCTGATGCCATGGATGAACTGCTACCCAAGCTTGCCGTAGTAACACAAAAGGTCAACACATACACAGGTACCGACTACTCAGGAGTGGAAGCCCTGCGAAGAGAAATCAAAGAACAAGGTACGCCATTTCTTCACTCTTGAGGAAACTAGCTCTAATCTCAGGACAGAAAAGCTCGTAAAGGCCCGCCGCTCGGCCATTGACGCTGCCAAACAAGCCCTCGATACTGCCCTCGCTCACCAGGCCACTTCGCAGAAAGAAGTCGTCGCTCTCCTCGAACGGAAACACTCGTGGTCGAATGGCGATCTCGAACGCTACATGGCTCTTATCCGATCCGAGCACCTCAACGACCAGGCCGTCCGCGAAGCAAAGGATGCCGTTGCAAACGCCGAGAATGCCTTGGAGGATGCACGAGCGCAGCTAGAAAAGAGAGAGCGTGCACAGTACCATGAGGAACAAATCTGGAGTGATACTATCCGCAGGAACAGCACCTGGGTTACCTTTGGACTGATGGGTGTCAATATCTTCTTGCTGTTGCTCAGTCTGGCAATTCTCGAGCCCTGGAGGAGAAAGAGGATGGTCAAGGAGATCAAGAACGCGTTGGAGGCGCAACAGAAGATTGCTTCCGAAGCTGCATCCGCGGCGGCTGCAGCGGCTGTAACACCCACTCTTAGCAGCCAGGGACCTGCAGCCATGGAGAGGGAGGTCGAGAGGGTTGTTGAGCAAGCTTATACGCCTACGATGCCCGCTGAATCTGCTGCAGTGGAAGAGGTCGAAGAGGTCATTGAAGAGTTGCCAGCGGTCGCAGAGCCAGAAGTTGTCCCCGATGTTGTCGCAGAAACCCTTGTTGAGCCTGTGCCGGGAGTCACTGAATTCAGTCCAGAAGAAGAGACTTTGACGCCCGAGGAGAAAGTCACCGTCGCTAGGGAGGCCGCTCCATCCTATCATCCCTACAGTAAACTGGAGACTTGGCAGGAAAAGGCACAATATATTGCTAATGACTTGCTCAGCGAGCGTGTCATTTCCATGCGGAGAATCGACTACACGACTGCGGTTTTGCAAGGCGCTGCGGCGGGAGCCGTTATTACTGCTACTCTGATTGCTATGCTTAGACCCAATTAAGACGTTGATCTGGTCCCATGCTTTTTTCATGTAGAAGAGCGCAAGTTTCCTTTTTTTTTCACCACATGTATCATAGAGGTTGTGTATAATAGATTCGCTGTCATGTATACTCGCCGACTGTCTTGTGTCGATGGAACGGTGTGTGACGATTTGGTGTATTGTCGATTGCGTACCGCAGTTGACAGGGTAGACTCGAACGTATGTTAGCTGAGTGAGCACGCGAGTGTCGATTGAGGAGAATATTACAGCTCTCAACTATGAGCGTATGACTGGTCCTTGTCCTCGGTGAGGAGCAACAGGTCTATGCATATACCTAATATGCAGCGGCCAGTCTTGCAGAACCGATGCGCTTTTGCGTATCGCACACCAAGCGAGTTTACCTAAGAGTTTGCTTTCCAGGCAAGTTGGAATCCGCACCTACTCACTCATATTATCACTATCACTCTCATCATCAACTTCAGCGAGCACCTGCACCTCTCCCCTCCGCTCTTTCTCCACTGCCTTCTCCACACTCTGCAGCATAGGCAACTGTCCCTCGCCCTCCCACTCTCTCGCTCTCTTAATAATCAGTTGCGACTGCCGTATAACCTCTTCTTCTGCTTTTTTGATAGTCCCGCTAACTCGCACCACTCGAATCACGACGGGCGTGTCGAGGGGCCGCGGGAGGCGCGTAGTGTATGTGAGGGCGGCCCAGACCATTTCGTAGTGGTCGCGGGGACATCGGATTATGGCTGTACTGGTTGAAGGGGAATAGTAGTTCACTGAGTGGTCGAGTATTAGTTACTGTAGTGTATGCGACAGCGCATGCACATGCATATGTATAACTAAGAGATGAAGAAAAAGGCAAGGTACCTTTTAACCCAGAAGCTACCATGCCAGACCCATAATCTCCAAATAGCTCTTCGACTCCATCCCGTATCATGCGCACAATGAAGCCTGGCTTGAGCGCGTCGGGCGTGGGCGAGTGGATTTGAATTACGGCAGGGAGTTTGGATTTGGTCTTTGTGGGGGGCTCTGGGTATAGGAAGTTGACTACTAGATAGCGGTTCTTTACGCGCACCATGGTGGCTTCAATGCGCTGAGGTGTGTGCGTATGTGGAGGTTGAAGTAAAGGTGTGCGGAGAGGGATGTTGGAATAAGAAAAGTAATCAGAAACTATGTAGTACGATAAGGTTGCGCACCAACGACACCGAGCAGCAAGTGGACGTGATGTCTGTGCCCCCCACTCTGCAATCCAAGCGCACGCGCAAGATACGCGAAGTCACGTTGTATATGTTTTTCAATTTTTTTTTGAATAAAGCAAAAAAGTGAAATGTAAGACCACGGTCCTCAATCTTTCGGGCCATGCATTAGCGCGCAAGGCAAGTTGATTGGGAGCTTTCTTTCCTTGGCCTATGACGCACATGGTTAGCCATTATCCCCAGCTTTTAGCGCCTTGTCCTTGCGTCTTGCGCAGCAATCCGACATCCTGTGCCTGCGACACACTCCCAGCTTTCCCCGGTTAGACCCACACAGCTACCAGCGACAGGCATATACTCTATTGAGAACCCAGATCGCATACGTGACCTACGACATAGCATCGGAATAGAAGCTGAAGATACACACAATCCTATCCATCTATCAAGCACCAGTCTTGTCCCGGCTCCAAGAGTAACCTCCCTCAAAGATGGCGTCTTCATCATCGTCCTCGCCGCTGCTATAGTACGACACTCCTGTCTCCCCCCTTTCTCTCAGACCCAATCACCATAACTAACACCCCTCACCAGCGCCTGCATCGCCCACAACACCACCGTCCTCGCCGAACACACAGCCTCCGCCTCCTCCAACGCATCGTCGCTCGTCTCGCTCGTCCTCCCGCGCATCGCGCACGACAAATCCGCCCACAAGACAATCGACCAGTCCAAATTCTTCATCCACTGCCTCGTCAAGTCGCCCTCTGATTTCCCCGCCTCCCACGCCACCGCCGGCGGCCTAACCTTCCTCGTCATCGCGGAGCGCGAGCTCGGCCAGCGCATCCCGTTCGGCTTCCTCGCCACGCTCGAGAAGCGCTTCTTTGCAGAGTTCGAGCCCGAGAGTACAAACTTTCATGACTTGCCGCCGTATGGCTGCGCAAGTTTTAATGGCGCGCTCAAGAGGTTGATGCTCGAGCAGGGGAGTACGCAGGCCGGGCAGCAGGATGCGCTTAGGACGGCGCAGCGCGAGATTGAGGGTGTGAGGGAGATTATGACGGAGAACATTGAGCGCGTACTTGAGAGGGGTGAGCATATGAGTGTGCTGGTGGACAAGACGGGGAGACTGGGTGAGAATGCGAGGGACTTTAGGGTCAGGAGTCGCACATTGAAGAGGAGGATGTGGTGGAAGAACGTCAAGCTCATGGTGCTTTTGATCCTTGTTGTCATCTTTTTGCTCTATTTGTTTGTTGGCTTTGGATGCGGATTGCCTGGTATGTTTCTCTCTCTCTCTCTCTCTCTCTCTCTCTCTGGAAACCGATTGATTTGGGAAACCATGGACCACTAACATTGAACAGGATGGAGCCGATGCCTCGGTCACTAAGTCCCTATTACCACATCCTTTACAACCATTTCACTCCTCGAAACGAGCGACTTGAATCATGTCTTGGACCCGTAAGCAAAACCATGTGGCTGGGAATGAAGCAGGCCTTTGTGCCTACGTCAACACACGCTCTAAAGACGTGCCTGTAGTATTCTTCATTATAGTTCTTACCAAGTGGCAAGGCGTCTGGCGTCTATGTTCTTCCCTTTCCAATTGCGCCATCAGTAGTCTTGAAATCGACTACTTTCTCTTTTCCAATAGCCAACAAAAAAAAACTCCGTCCCAATGCAGATCCCTTCCCTGGGATAACCTGTTTGTGTTCCAAGATGCACCAAACCATTGCCTAACCGAGCTAATCCGAATCCGCCCCAACCAAACCTAATAATGACCCAAACCTAACCCTAAACCCAAACGCCAGAAAAAACAAAAATAGACTGAAATAAAACTGAAATAGCTCCCCCCTACCCTGATTACAAGAAAAATACATCATACATATACCCTTACATGCTGTTATCACTCGACTCCGTGGAAATGCTTTTGACTATCTATCTACAGTCTGTATGCCTACCCCGAAACCACGGAATAGACCCCAAAAGGAAAAGCAAAATGAATCAGTGGGAATAGAAAACAAAAAAAGGAAACTTTTTTGCTGTTTTGCTCGTATTCGTTAAAAAAACCGTCAAACGCCTGCCATGAAACTCATACACATTACTGTGCATCTACGGTGCCATGACCATAGCGAGCAGTGCCATGCGGGTATACAGTCCGTATCTCATCTGTACAAATGTTAGCCCTTGCATTTCATCTTTGACAATTGTAAACCTACCTGTCTGAAGTATGCCGCCCTAGGGTCGAAGTCAACCTCCTCATTGATCTCGTTGTTCCTGGGCAGTGGGTGCATGACAATCATGTTCTCCTTGGCCCCCTTCAACAACTTGTTGTCAATGACAAACGCGTCCTTTACAGCCTCGTAGCTGGCCACATCGGGGAAACGCTCCTTCTGCACACGAGTGCAGTAGATGACATCCGAAGAAGCGACAATCTCGTCCGTGAGCTCGTTGGAAACCTTGTTCAGCTGACCTCGTGACTTGAGAGCATTGGTTACACCCGAAGGCATAACGAGGGACTCTGGAGAGACGAGGTTGATGGTAACGTCGTAGTGAGAAAGAAGCTCGCATAGGGAGTGCACAGTGCGGCCATACTTGAGGTCACCAACGAAGGTAATGTTGAGGCCGTTGACAGTTCCGAGTTCCTCACGGATGGTGAAAATGTCGAGAAGGGCCTGGGTCGGGTGCTCGCGGCTTCCATTGCCAGCGTTGATGATTGGAACATCAGAAAACTTGGTGGCGATGTCGATGGATTCCTCAGATGGGTGGCGGAGGACGATGGCGTCACCGTAGCAGCCCAAAGTGCGGATGGTATCAGCGATAGACTCGCCCTTCTGGGTAGAAGAGACAGACTCGTTGATGACAACAACCTCACCACCCAAGCGCTTCATGGCAGCATCGAAAGAAGCTGAAGTCCTGGTAGATGGCTCACAGAACATTGTGCAAAGCACACGACCCTTGAGAATATCGAGACAGCCCTGTCGCTGAGTACCCAGACGCATCTCCTGGGCAATAGTGAACAGCAGGTGGAGGTCTGCTCGGGAGAATTGTTTGACGGAGGTGATACTCTGGCGCTTGAATGGGGACTTCGCGAGGAGCTGCGATAGAGACAATGAAGCGTTGAGGCTAGAATTGGCTCCAGAAGATTGGTCGTGGGATCCGGTGGCAACAGTGAAGTCTTGGAAATCAACCTTGCTGACCTCCATGTCGTAGTGGCGAGCAATCGCCTCGATCAGCAACTTGGCGTTCTTGACATTGGTGACCAATGGAGTCTGGTAGTCGACGGCCATACGACGTGTTTGGTAACCCCTACTCATGTAGTTGGCAGGTCGGCGGAAGCGGTTGCTTGATGGCAGGTTGATGTAGAGATCGATAAGGTTGTTGGACAAGTGCTGCGTGAGCGAGTACTCTTGCTTCTGCTCGTCGTGTTCGCCACTAGAAAGGACTTCCAAGAACTTGACTGGAATGCCGTGCTCTTGAATGTAGTCGGCAGTTCCAGCAGTGGCAAAGAGGTTGTAGCCCATCTTGTGCAGGCGCTCAATTGATGGAAGCATCTCCAACTTGTCCTTGAACGAACCAATCGAGAGGAGAATGTTCTTCTTTGGCAGCCTAAAGCCAGTGGCAATGAGACCCTTGATATATGCTTCGTACTTGGTACGACCGAAGCAAGCAACTTCACCGGTGGAAGCCATCTCTACACCAAGAACAGGATCGGCACCAGAAAGACGAGAGAACGAGAACTGGGGAACCTTGACACCAACGTATTCTGCGGGAATGTTGACTGGCGGGTACTCCTGGACAGGGAGACCAGCCATGGCCTTGGTAGCCATCTCAATTAGG